CTGACCATTAAGTAGTCTCTATCATTTTTTGTATCATCATCCTGTCATATGGATTTTTGTTCTCAATCGTTTATCAAATATATCGTAGCCAAATCCGAAATTTATTTAATGTTCAACTGATATATGACTGTTGTCGTACAACAAGGACCAAGTGTCATCAATTATTTTATATGCGTCACATGTTGATGACACAGGTTGCAAATGTCAGCACTCGAACGGTGTTGGCGTTAGTATTCCGAAAGGCACGGGGACATTGCCAGCCATAAAACAAACATACACCAAAAACATTTCGAATATGTCAAAAATGTTTAAATATTGCACAGCACAATAGGCGTGACGTTCATCCTTTTGATTGCGTATTACGAGTATTTTGTTATTAAATTTAATTCGGGAATTCGATTTCATGAACTTGTTTTGAATTTGACACTAACACAAAATCCATTTGTTAATGATATCGTACTTCATTTGGTCTCAGTTAATCATAATTGCAAATTCCACTGAATTCATCGTATTTGGCGCACTACTCATTTTGGCTTTTTCCCAACTGAAGGAGCAAATTAATGAAATCAAAACTTTCCATTACTTTTCCGAACGACTAGGCTCGGTGAAATTCTGTCGATGTTGTGTTCGCTATTTGGAATATTTTTTGGAGGAGCAATGGTAAATTTAAATCGCAGAACTTTGCAATTATCATGAATGCGAACAAGTTTCAAATTTTCACAACAAATTAAATTTAAATTGCCAACTTCAACAACTAAACGAATAAGTGAATGAAAATTTTGCAATGCCCCTGGCAGTGCTGGCTTCCATCCCACTTCACATGGCCGCAGTCCACGAAATGGACGCAAAGTTGTTAACGGAAACTCGAATTAAATTTGAATTGCTGGAATTTTTGTTCAAAGCTAATCACACTTTCCAAAGCAAATGAAAATGAATGACGGCATTATGTAGATAAACACAATAACAGATACAAATTGATTTTACAAAACTAATTCTCCGTAGCTGCTATGACGTTGGAATAAGCGGAATATGTAAATTATTTTTAATTAAATTTGCGAAAACTTTATAAAAAAGAAAATTACACTACTTAATATGGATAAGTACAACGAATATGCCATATATAAGGATATGGAACCCAGAAAACCATTCATTTAATGGGATTCTCTGAATGAAACAAAGACTCTGTAAACATAGTCAGAAGAACGGACAAAGAGACAAATAGATTAGATCAGGTTATACCAGCGATCCAAAGGAATCCACTAAGGCCTATTGGTCCATTGTACTACCTTATAATAAAAAAAATCAGAATTTAAATCACCTGGTCACAGGGTTAACCGCTAGTCTTACTTCTGCGCTCGCGCTATCACCCCACTCCCCTTCACTATAACTCTATCTCCTTAATTACGTCCATGCTTTCTGGCTTAGATAAACCTAGCCCGCTAGGTATTAAACCTAGCTGATCTCATCTCTTTCTCCTGATTACTAGAATAAAGTTTCCACATTGCTGTGCAAATCCTTTCCATTCATTTCTATGAGATGGTTTCAGTGAGTTTAAGTCTCACACTATTGCTTTAGATGATTTCCACCTCCTGTACAAAACAAAACAAAAACCCAACAATTGGCGAAGCTTAAAATGCTACTTAGCTATTTAGTTAATCTACACACGGTAGGTTGAATTGTTCGTTTATGTTGAGCCTTTTCCGAGTTAGTGCTTCCGGACACTTTTACTCTATGATGGCTGAGGGGTTGCTGCAGAGTCCCATCCCATCTCACTGACTTATTTGAGTATTCCTCATAATCTTCGTGATTATTTAATGATTGATCTAAGATCGGCGTATCGCCCCGCGCGGTTAGTGATTACTCTGAGATCAGATAGTGCTAAGTAGGGCAGCCTGTCGGTTTTCGCATATAGCTTGAGAGCTCTGTCCCTTATGTATTTTTTGACCAGATATATTCTAAGTTCTTTTAGCATGTCAGTCGTGCAGATGTACCAAGGCACTTTGAAGAGCCTTCGGAGGGCCTGAATTTCAGCAACTTGTAGCTTTTGCATAGTAGAGTCGGCAGCTTTGCTATAAGCGCACACCCATAAAGTAGTGCTAATCTAATTATCTGGCTATAGATAAGCTTTCTGTTTTTCGCGCTAAGGTAAACCTACTATGAGATTGATATCTCTCCGGACCATTTCAATGAGAGAAGACAGATAACAGATGTAAACAATAATTGAACCTACTAAATTAACAATATGTTATTACCTATTGTTGACGTATTACAATATGTCAAATTATGTGTGAATGATTTCAGTGTTACTTAGAAGAATTCTGAAAGCGTCCACAGGTGAATATATGTGACAACTAAAAGTATCTGCGATTCTAATCATGGATATTTCAGTGATCGAGTATTTAATATTAAGGCGGATGCATCATCAATATTGGAAGTGAAGTTCACTTAAGCGAATACATTCAAAACGAGTTGGCATTGTCGGACTTCACAAGTGGCATTGGGAAGCGCTGAAAAAAAATACTAGCATCTTCTAAGTGAAAATTTACACAATATTTAAGTGCATACTTATCAATATTGAGTCAGTCACACATGTGCTGTAAGAGTACCCTACGCAAATACATATACGGAATAGATTTCTGTTAATTTATACCTTTATGGAAGAGGCAATAAAAATCTTAAAGTAGACTTAATACGACTTTTTATCGATGCAACATGGCTTCTACACTTAGTCTAAACTCCGCAGGAAGCACAATAGACCCGACTGTCGCAGTGCCACATCCCATGTCAATAATAATAAATAATAATTGAACATGAAGATGGTCTAATCCTAATTGATCATTATCTAATCTTGGGATTAATTTATTTTGACTACTGGAGCTTGTTAAAAGGACTGGCAACTGCTAAATACTACAATTATGACTTTTCCCTTTCTCTGTCAAACTTACTTCATTGTCTTTGATCCACTGTTCATCGTTAAATGAAATGAGTAAAGGATACACTTGGAACAACTAATTAGAAATCGCTTTGTTAACAACAGAATCGAGCACGAGATCTTATCTGTCTTTTGTTGAATTGCAAATTTCAATGATTTATGACCAGTAATATAGCGAAATGATTGTCCATTAGTAGACAGTGAAAGTGTTTTATGGACAAGTTCACTATCAATTCCCTAAAATATATGCAATGTATTATATTTAAGAATCGACTATATTTAATTCGAACAAGTACAACATATATAGTTGATATATATCTTTCATTCATATTTATATAAAAAGTTGTAAATTTTTGTATTATAGGCTTATACTATAATTCTCATAAAACAATATAATTATTAATATAATTCTTAATATAATTCTCCATATAATTCTCCTTATAATTCTCCATATAATTCTCCATGTAGTTCTCAATATAATTTCCATTACAATTCTCATTATGTTTGAATGTAATTAACTATAAATTAAAGTTAAATTATTTAAAATAATTGATATGAAGGGTTTGATAAAGAATTGACTGGTGATGTAGAGTTGTAGATGATGTGTTTCTTACGAATGAGGATAAGTTATCAGCTGAACGGCAAAGAGAAACTTTTATAACAAAACATATAAACTGAGTTGATAGATGAAAATAATTTAATTATAGTTTGCGTAAGTGCACAAAGAGATAGATTGTAATTGTGCGTAGCAAGCAAATTGCACACGTTCCAAAAAGTGTCCAAAATGTGTCCAAAAAAACAGCTCTTTTGTAAAAAATTGTTATAAATATTGATGCTTATGAATTTATTGATATTTCTGATTTGGAATTTAAGAAAATTATGCAATTGTTTGCTGAGTAGTTTACAGGTACAAAAATAATGACATAGAATTGAGAGTTTTAAAGTTATTATATCAGAAGTATGTTAGTGGTCCACTGTGATTTTATGGAGTAAGTCAGTGTCCAAAAATAGTTACCTATAGCAAAGACTTAAATAGAAAAAATTATTATGAAAGAATGCATAGACAAAACTTTTGCCGAAAAAGGGTTCAAAAATAAACAACGATTTACTTGCCTAACCTCCAAAAGAGTTAACTACGCAGTCCAATAAGTAAACAAAAACATCTTTAATGTTCTAAGTAATTTTGCAATAAAATACTCTAAGCGGAGACTTCAACGTATTGTAATATTAATAATTGTTTATATTTTCAAACAAAAAAAATCTCAATTAATCAATGAAAAAAGATATGATTATATAAAATATATAAAAGAATAAAATCTTTGCTAAGCAATAATATTGAACATTAAATACTTTTACATACATACATATGGGTGACTAACAACCATTAAATAAAATAAATATCGTTAGGTTCGTCTTCGAAATCGGACACATAAACAAAATTCTTCAGTCTCAGTGCACACCGCTCTCATATAAACGAATAAATATATGCCATTCCATTGCTGAGTTTCATTAGAGCAAGAACTGAGTGATCCGTGAGTTGAAGTAAGATTATTCAATTAAAATGGATTCATTTTTCAATACTGTTAGAGCGCCTGAAAACGCAGTATTATCTACTCGGTCTCCAGAGGCAGTACCTGCAGCAGAATCTGTGGCTATCCCACACAAGAGAGGCTTCTGCAGTTATATTCGCATGCTTTGGACTTTTTTCACAGGTTTTGCAAGTATTTACAATTTCATATACTTGTTGTTGGACTTAGGAGTGTTGGTGAAAAACGCTGGTCGTAAAGGAGTGCGAAAATTTATCACATTATTAAATCCCTTTGATAAACTAAGAAGAATCATCAATAAACCAAAACATAGAACAATGAGTAATGCTGTTATAGAAGGTAAGATCATAATGTTTTCACGTAACGTTTGTGATAAGTACATGATTGGAGAATCTCTTGGTACCGGAACCTTTGGTGATGTTATGAAAGTAAGAGATCGTGAAACTTTTAAAATTTATGCTATAAAAATTGTTGAAAAAAGAAATCAAAATGAACAGCAGTTTTATTCTGAAATGAGCATAATGAAAGAATTAAATCATAAACATATTATCTATGTGCACGAAGCTATTGTAGAATGCACGAAAATATATATCGTTTTGGAATATGTCGATGGTGGTGATTTGTTCAACGTACTTGATGTTGAAGATAGTTTTTCCGAGAAAAAAACGAAAATTGTGATTGCACAATTGGCATCAGCTTTGAAGTATATACATTCCAGAAATATAGTACATCGAGATATTAAGGCTGAAAATATATTGGTGAAAAAAAATTGTGATCAAAATTTTTGCATTAAATTAGCTGATTTTGGTCTGGCAACTCAAGCAACTGATCCACTTTATGACATGTGTGGTACTCCGGCTTATATGTCACCAGAAACCATAAAAAAAGTTGGTTACGGTGTTAAAGTGGATGTATGGGCTACAGGGATTTTAATGTATTTTATACTCAGCGGTTACTTGCCATTCGACAATGATAATAAAGGCCCTATGATCGCATATCACGAAATAGTACATTTCGAACCAGAATTCTCGGAATCGTGCTGGCCTGGCATAACTACAGAGGCAAGGGACATCATTGAGAAAATGTTAAAGAAGAATCCTAATCGACGTTTAACGAGTGAGGAAATTATGCAACACAATTGGATAAGCATACCAACTTAAACACACACACAACTGAAGACATTTCATTAAAAATTTAGTATTGTTCCATTCTTTGTTAAGTAAGTAAATGCGCAAGTGCATCTATCCTAATGATGTCGTATCCATTTTTTTTAATTATAAGTACAATAACACATTTTTAAGTAAATTAAATGGAATAACTAATTACAAATCTTTTATCTTAGAGTATGGAAAGAGATGACAACGATGTACTTGATTTCAATTTATTTCCGGTAAAATTGTTCAAAAATGCGTAATTATTGCGTTGAAGGCGATTATCTTCTTCAATATTAAATGTAAAAAACCTAACCATTTTTAATACTTTTATATTTTTTCAATTAATTTTAGTAATAACAGACAATATAATATATATAAAATGTTATAAAAATTAAATATTATTTTTTAAAATTTGTTTGCATACTTGTATGTAATTTTACATTGTATTGCTTTATGCTGGCTGAACTTCATAAATTATGTTAAAAATAATTATATTAATAAATAATAATAAAAATAAAATTTTGGTTTACACATCAATTATTTAATAATAGGAAAAATTCTCTACATAACATAGAACAAAAGGTGACAATTAATACATTTCACACGCATTTCAATTAATCGACAAAAATGCTATCAAAATTGCTAAATAGTGCCCTTAAATATATAAAATACTTCAATAAAATAAAACGAGGGCGGTTTGATAAGTCAGTGGCATTTTAAATAAAACAAATTTTTTTCAGCAAAAAAACATTTTATTTTTCTACATAATTACCTTTTAGCTCGATACATTTAGTCCAGCGGTTTTCTAATTTTCTTTTTCCCTCCAAATAATTGGTTTTTTCAAAGCTCTCAAAATACTCCGATGGAACTCCCAAGGCTCTAGAAGACCTGGCGCACCAACACAAACATGGCGCAGAAGTATAGATAGAGAACTTAATAATGCAAATTATAACTGGAATAATATATGCTGCAAAATACCCAAAAGAGTTAGGTTTAGACCTATGATAGAGGCCCTATGCTCCACGAGGAGAAGAGGACAACAGTAAGTAAGTAAGTAAAGCTTTCAAAATACGCGTTTGTTTCGGTAATGACTTCTTCATTCGACTCAAATCTTTTACCGCCCAGCCATTTCTTTAAGTTTGGAAACAGAAAATAGTCGCAGGGGGCTAAATTTGGAGAATATCCAAATTTCGTATCCCAATTCGTGGATTTTGGCCACGAATTCTTAGTCAGCACACGAAATTCACTTTTTTCCATTTTCGTAAAAATTCACGAGGTTGCCGCTTTGAACGGCTAATAATAATAAGTATCAAAGTCAGAAGTAGATTATTGACATCAGTTGAACAGGCTTTTAAACTTCGAATATCTTCATAGAGATCATTTTAATTATCTTAATTAAATAATAATTAATTAAAATAATAATTAATTAAATAATTACTTATTTAATTTATTTTTTCTTTATTTTTTTATTCGTTTTCAAATCAAGATTTTTTTTTGTTTAAATCTTAATTTTATTTTTCGAATATTGTTAAAGAACATTTATAAAAATTAATCAAATCGGTAAAACTAGTAATAGTAGTAAAAATTAACCGAGCTCTAATGTTTCAGAGTTAATTATTATTAACATCTATAAACAATAACATAATATTAATATCGCACTAATGTTAGTACCATATTAGTGTTGACAGATACACCAACACCATCTAGTGACAAAAAGCGTTGATACTTTTTATATTTCCCTTTAACCCATATCCGCCCAAGGATTTTTTGTTTGAAATTTTGGTTTTTTCTAAAGCTTAATTAGTGAGGGGGTGGGGTATGTGGAGTGAAGTCATAAATATTTTTGTAAAGCTAAATCTTTATACATTCAAAGTATAAACAAAAAATTTATTAAAAGTGGTAAAATTTGCTGTTCTATTAATCGAACGGCGGATATGGTTTTATATATGTTACCATTATATTTTGTAATAGTATATTTAGAGAATAAATAATGTAATGCATCTACAATTATTTACTTCACGTCATTCAAGTCATTCAAACACTGTTTATACAATATTATTGTATATTCTGCTTCTCTGGATTAGTAAGTTGAAGCCTCTCTCTTCTACGTAATCTGGATTATGAACGCTTGTCCAATAATTCACTTGCTAAAAATTTGGTATCTTCCAGAAGTTTATTTTTGGTTTTTAATTAAGCTTTTGTAGTCTAAATAAGTGGGATTTAAAGACCCTCATGGGTTTTCTCATTACTTATGTAGCAAGGGGTACAAGCTATTAAGCGAAGAAGTTTGGAGTGTGAGCAAACATTGCTTTACAGTTGTTCTCCATTAGACAAGTATTTCATATTTCTAATATTGCTCCGACTTTTGGTAAAATAGTCAATGAATTTTTTCGAATTTTTTTGTTATATATTGGTCCATTTAATATCTTTAATCCATATAAATCTTTTGCCAATTTGGATTTTTAAATACAGTATTTGCTTGCAGAGTTGTAACACCTGCTTGAAGTAGAAGTTATGTACGTACTATTAGTTCCATTTTCATGGATAAACCTCTTAATAAACAGACTTCAATCAGGGTGAGATATTTGATGTGATTCTTAGATACAACAGAACGGTTTAGTTGAGAATTAAAAATCGCGGCGTCATTAGTAAAAGTGATAGAGTCAAGGAGAGGGGTGGTAAGAAGGTCTAAAAAGAACAAAGTACTAACCAGAGAGTATTACACTGATAGACGACGTCAGCCATTACATCATTATCATAATAAAGAGTTTGAACTTTAGTTGTAGTTTTCTATTTTTCAGTTCTAAACCTAATATCTTGTGAATATTGTCGAATCTCCCTTCTAAGGTACAATATTAGATATTGTAAGATTGCAAATTCAAATTTTCAAATTTTTTGTCACTATCGATAGTTTCAAGACTATGGATTATTTTTCCAGAAGGTTGACAAAAAAGAGACAACGCACAAAAGACTAACCCATGTGGACATCGTTGTTCACATATATAATATATCGTTAGTAAATTCCTTTTTTTCTAAAGAATATCCACAAAAATTAATCTGAATCTGACGTTAGCAGTTTAAATAATATGTAGGGTAATCACGGCTCATGAAGTGCATTTGTTATTATTCAGAGTAACTGCATAGTCAGCAAAGAAAACACAACTCAATAAAAAATTATTGTTTGAGAGTCAAGTTCCAGACTAAGAGATATATATGAGGTGTTTGTTGTTTTTGTTGCTTCACTAATTTTTTTTCAAACTGAAGTTATTTTATTTGTTTATTTATTATTGCAAAAATACTTGCAATTATAAACCACGCCACATTGTACTGAAGTTACTTAATTTAAAGGAATAATTTTAAGTGCAATATTATTTACACAATCAACTTTGAATAATTAAATATGTTTTTCGATCAAAAATTGGGATTTATTTACAGATTCGTTTTTGTGCCCATTCCATTCTTCATATTTAGTGGCTTAAGGAGATACAACAAAACTTTTCCAACTATTTCTATTTTGTGCATATATCATAACTCGTTAATCGCTGCAGGTCTGCCTCTCTGTCGATGTCCTTGTAAGTTGCTGTTCATTGCTGCGTGTGGGGATTTCTTCACGAGGTTTACGGATTGTATGACCTGTACAACTATAATTTCATTTTTTGATTTCGCTTGTAATCGTACTTTGATTAGTTAATCTTCACAGTTCCTCATTCGTCATAATTCCAAGCCACCAGATTTCCATAAATTTAGTGAACACCGATTAACAAATGCTTGAAATGCAGTTTTGAAGTCGTTGCTACTTTCACCAACCATGACTCGGAGCCATACAATAGAACTGATTTTACGCAGGCGTTAAAAATTTTTATCTTGGTATGTATTTAGAAATTTCTAGCTCACCATATATTTTGCTGTCTTACGAATGTTCAACACGCTTTCAGACTTCTAGAACTAACATCTTTTCTAGCACCCCGTCTGTTGAATGTATACTTCCTAAATAAGTAAAACTCTCAGTATCTGCTATTGCTACTATATCAACTGAAAAGCAGTTAGAGTTAACGGTTTTAAGATGCAAGTATTTAGCTTTTCATATGTTTATTTTTAAGCCGAATTCTGGATGATTAGCGTAGCAGTTGGTTGAGATAGCAGAATAAAATCATCATATTCAAGATCCTCGAGGGTTGAATTCAATCTCCAGTTAAAGATTTCCAGCACCCAATCCAGAACGACCGAAAATAAGAGTGGCGACAGTATACAGCCTTGTCTCACACCCCTTGTTGTGATGAATGGTTCGCTTGAATTTCCATTATGCAATAAATATTATACTTTGTTCCTTCATAACTCTTTAAAATGGTGTTTACTATCTTCTGTGAAACACCAAGTCTTTGTAGCGCAATCCAAATGCACTCTCTTTTAATCGAGTCGAACGACTTCTCGTAATCAGTGATAACGTCATATAAGGCGGCGATAAATTCAATGCATTGCTCAATAATAATTTTCATGGTGTTGATATTGCCGATACAGGAACGATTAGACCTGAAACCGGATTTTTGTTTGCGTAGTTGTTTATTAAAATTATCTTATTAAAAACTTTACTTGCGACTGAAAGTAACAATATTTCTCTCCATGCCTTATGGAGAGATGCCTATTTAGTGTACAAGTTAGTATTCTATAAATAATATTACGTATTATTTCATTAAAACCACTGACTTCCTCCGAATATATTGAAGAATATATGTGATTTTCATAATATGTAATATTTGAATTATATCTAACAGTCAACAAATAAGTTAATTATAAACACAGCCAATAAATAATTAATTAAAAATACTAAGTCAAAAACTATGTATAAAGGATTGAAACCGCTACGTGCTGCGGTCTATATTCTTCACCGTATGTGGCAAAACGTTTCAATTCACTACTTTACATCGGACCCTGAAATTGAAAATGTTTACTAATAGAAAGTAGTCGCGTCATCTAGTAGGATAAAGTATTTAATTACTGTTACTTTA